TTGCCAAGGGACTTTTTTTTTATCACATTGAGAAGAATCAAGCAAACTATTTCAATGCATTCAACTTTTCAAGTTCTCAATGAATGTTTACATTAATTAGAATAATGTTAAGACTTATGGATCCAATTTTATAAATAAATTATAAATAAAAATAGCTGCCAGAGAACTGAGTTTTGAAGTGGCCCATACACATATTTCCAGCACAAACGGTGCTTTAACACTAAATAAAATGGCTATAAAGCGCTAACAGCCCTATGGTTATTAACTTAAGGCTAGTTAGATCCTCATAAACCTTACAAAAAGTAAAATAACACGCTAGATTTTTTTTTTTTTTGGCTTTGAACTTCTGGCAGGGGACTGATCTTAAAATGCCTGGGACAAACTTTGGTTTAATGAATTCAATGAAACAAATTAATTTTCGGTACTTTTTATTGAAGAAGATTGTTAGTTACCTAATTAAGTTCATAAACATTATGGACCAAATTATATATTATGGACGAATAACTTAAAATTTAATCTTAAAGTTTCAATTTTGAGAATGGGACAGCCCAGGGGACTGACATTTCGGTGGTTTACGAATTTATAGCAAAAAAACCAAAATTTATTTCATTTTAGTTTTCAATGCTCCAATTAGAAATGTTTGTTTACTTTCGTAACAAATTTTTTTTAGTAACAATATAACAATTTTTCCAATAAAAAAATGCCTGGGACAGCGAAAAACATCGTTACAGAGAATCAACCATATATAAATTTTTTTGAATTAATTAATACTGAGATTTACTTTAAAAAAATTGATTTTATGGTTACAGTCGATGATGGAGCTATTTTGGATTTAATTCTTCAAGATTTCGTTCATCCACCAGCACCTGGTTTCGAAAAAATCATGGTTGAGCAATCTTTACTTTAATTTTTTTCAATTATAATTACTATTTATGTTTACAAATTACTTAATTACAAATAAAATTTATAGTTTAAAAAGTGAATTTCATTATATCAGAACCTGTGTATAAAAAAAAAAAAAGTAAAAAAATTAGTGATTTATTTATTTATTTAATTATAACAAAGATACATATAATAATGAGATAAATAAATACATTTTCATATATATTAACTAAGGAGTACTTTAATTGTCCCAATGATATCATTTCATTAATTCCCAACATAAATGAAGTAACGATAAATTTGTCATTGTTTCATTTATATGTAAGTCATAAGAAAAATTTTTTTATTTTAAGCTGTTATATTAGAATGGACTTAATTGTATAAAAATACATTCAAGAGATAATTTAAAATACTTGATTTATTTTATCTTTTATTAGAAGAGGAAAGGAAATAATCAAAGAGCAAAAGTATTGAGACTTATTTGTATTTATTAAAAAGATTTACACGTTTAATATATATAAATAATTATTGTAACTTTTGTATTTTACAATACAATTATTTTAATTACTATTATTATCATTTGACGATTAAATATCAAACAGTTATACTATATTCATACATAAATATATACTTATAATATAATAATAATAATGGAGAATATAAATTCTATCAATTTTTGTAATATTAAAAAGTATTTACAATCGCTCAAGCAAAATTTCAACGGTGTCAATGGCATTAGGCTCTACATTGTTTATATAATAGAATTCATATTTTTATGCTCTTTCATTTATTCTCGATTTAGTATTTCGTTGATGAAAATTCTTTGTCATTTAATTCAAATTGTATACCTCAAATTTCCATCTTTTTACAATTCTAAAATTAAATTTGCCACTGATTTTCTACTATTCGATTAATTTACTACATTAATTTTAAAATTTCCACTTAATTAAAGAAAAGTTTAATCAGTATTTGCTAATTAAAACAAATGATATAATCACAAAATACAATTATGACCGATGAAAAAATCAATATTAAATTAATAAATATCATTTATAAAAAATATTAATTATACAATTTTTTTTTTTTTTTTTTAGTAATACATTTTTTTACAAAAATTCAAATAATATTTTTTTTTTATTATAAAAGGATAAAAGAATTCATTTAGAAAAAACTTTTACAAAAAAAAGTAAATATAAATTATTTAAATGATTTAAGAATAATATTTTCACGTGATGTTTGTTTATTTAAGAATTGATTTTTTTTCTTTCAATTAAATCAACACTTTTTAAAGAAAAATCTTTGGTAACTGTAAAGTAATTTCTATAAATATAATTTTAGAAATCACGCATTTTCATTCATAATCAATCGAATTATAAAAAAAATTTAATAAATGATTATCAAAAATACTAACTAACTATTCAATTTAAAAGAAAAAAAATCTAAAAATTTCTATATGATATCAGTTCATAATAAAACAATTTTTAAAAGGGTAAAATCCATAGATTTACTTATTTATAGAATTATTAGATAATGTTATTTTTAGGTGGTTTTTCCATATTTCGTAGATATAAATGTTCGTAGATATAAAAATCTTCTTCTCGAGAAGTGATTCCAAGTAAAAGTATATTAAAAAATATTGGTAACAAACTGAACATGATGAATCATAAATCTTCTGACTATAATATAATATATATATATATATATCAACATAATTTTTGTTTTTTTTTAATTAAATATAAAATAAAAAATAAGATCATTCAAATTATGACACACAGTCAGAGTTATTGATGAACTATTACGTCGACAATATTTTGTAACAGACAAAATGTATTATAACTTCGCTTTAATTATTGTGGTAACGTATTGAGTCTTATTGCACGTGATATTTTTCGTAATTGTTGTCAACAATTACTTGTTATTGTTATTTATATTGTAGTAATTATTGTTAATTAATAATTAATTATTTTTCTACTATAAATATAAATATTTAGTCATACTTTTTTGTATTTAATATATCAAATCGATATCACTTATTAATAAATATATTTAATGCTATTATACTATGATAACATTATAATCTACACGTCTAATAACTTTTTCAATGTTCAACTATATCTGCGAATGATGTTACAATTACTATCACCATTATATTTTTATACCAACAACATTTATATTATTATGTAAATCTAAATGACTTATGTGCGCCGTAATTTTCACGTACAAAATAATTTTCTATTAAAAAACATAATTATTCTATTAAAATTTTAAATAAAAAAAAAGAATATCAATTTTTATAATTAAAATTTACAATATAAAATACTTTTTCGCTGTCTAAAATTAATAGTTAATGATTTGTATTTTTTCGTTCATAAATACAAAATTTCAATTACTGAATTAATTTAATTTTATCGCATAACAATTATTATTAATTTTTTTTTCTTTTAATTAACATTTTTCACTTAATCGTAATGAAGAATAAGAGAAAAAGAAAGAAGACTTATTAATATTAACGCTAAGATAGTCTGTATTCATCCTTACTTCCGGTGTGGATACTAATCATGAATACTAATGTCAGATCTTCAAATAAAATTATAAACAATTCGCGTATTGCTTACGTGCTCAGAAGAACACTAAAATCATATATTTTTTTGTTTGCGCAATTAAATAGTAACATGAGTCATTAATTTATTGATCAAGATTTTTCATTATTGTTTTAATATTATAAATTAATAATTATTGGTAGTAATACTACTACTATGATGTAGTTAATAATTTTTACTAGATTTATTATGTTGTTATCGTGATCAATGCTAACTAAATACTTAATTTATCGTTATCTATAAATTTTCAAAAAAATGGCAGTAATATTCTAACGCTAATGTCTTATCTGGTTAAAATAATTTTTTTAAATAATTTTGATAATTAAATAATCACATATAACTACAAAAATTAATCATTAATTTATATATGTATGTTTTCATTTTTTAAATTATCAAAAGTCATGAAAAAAAGATATGTATTTTAATATTTTAGTTTCATAAAAATTATATTAATAAATGAAAGAATAAGAAAAACGATGAACCAGCAGACCAGGCTCAAATTTTTTTGATGAGCTTTCGCATTGGATAAATTTCTTTCTCATGTTATTGTAGAAGTAATTGTAAATTTTCTGAGAATCATTTGTATCAATTTATAATAAAAATTATTCTTGACAAAGTAGTTTTATACAAGTAGATTAGTTTGTTCTTCAAATGATTTTTATCCTTATGCTGATTTGTCGTTTAATCAAGAATAGATAATTTAAAAATAAATAATATGAAAAATAGCCATATTTAGTCGAACTAAATATTATTTTCGACCAAACACAATCTATCATTTTTTAAGATGAGATAATAAGTATGTTATGCTCGCGCTTGATTTGCTGTATATATACGTAAAAATTCCGTGAGTACCAGTAATAATCTAATAAAAATATAATAGTTTATTTTAATGTTTTATTCAAAAAATTCGTTGTATGGGACTGTATGATTTATTGTCAAGAACAATATTTAAATGAAGACGAAAATTATAAGTATTTGTTTATCATGTTTTTTCAGTAATCAATAAAAAAAAAATTTAGAGCTTAAAAACTGGCCTGCAAGGTCGAACGTTTTCTTTTTTTTTTTTTTTTTTTTATATATATATTTGTTGTTATCATATCATAAATTCAAAATATCTAAATAAAATATGCTTTGAGCTTTCATTCTTTCTATGAACCTCAAAAAACGAGGTTAGAAAAGTTGTATATTAAATAATAATGTACTTAATTAACTAATTAATTTTCTTTGATGCAATTCGTAGAAATGGCAGAAGAAAAATATTACTATTTATGATATTTATGTACTTAAAAACACAGATATGTAGGTTAATATATGCGTATACAGCCAATAAATTTTGATAAAATTGTTTTTAAAATAATTAATAAAAGTTTATAAATTGACGGTAAGTCTCATTTGTTGCAAATGAACAAATTTTTAATGATATTTTTACAGAAGTGAAACTTTATTTTGGCTTATAAAAACAATTTCTTTGAGGTTTAAAGGATTTTTCTAATCCGATTTCAGGAAATTAATTAAAGAAACCTTTGATAAAACGTTAAAAACAGAGAAGCTAAAGGCTAAAAGCTTTTAAGTTAATAAAAAAATTAAACCTCTAAAGCCGCAAAAAAATTTTTAGAGCCAAAAATAAGCGAAGTCTTTTTTTTATAATAAATTGTTTTGGTTTCTTAGTTTAAAATCAGTTTTTACGCGAAATAAAAAACTGAGTTTAAGAAGTATTTTTTATGGCTTTAATTTTTTCATAATGGATTCGGCTTATGAATTTTATCGCAGATATAAAACTCTACGCTAAATTTATTTGCTCTTATATATATAGCAGCCTTAGTTTATTCAACTTAAAAAAATCTATTGTCAATTTTTTTTCACACGGAACTCTCTTATTAGAGATATTATTTAGTAGTTTTTTTATACAATTAATCGAGAGAATAATTCTATCAAAAATTATTTTCTCGTAAGATCTTTCTTAAGTATATATTTATACTTCAAAATATAGATTTTTCCATATCACTATCTGTATTAACATTGTGGAGTAATAAATTATCAAAAATTTTTTTACGTCAAATAGTTTGAAGTATATCTATAAATGAATGTATAAATTCAATGTAGAGTCCTATATCGATCTAAATGTTAACTAATGAGTCAGTAAACCGATAAATTTATTACGAATCACGAGTAACTAATTATCGCGGATTCTCTTTGGTTAAAACGATGAAACTTCTGGTAAATGACACGAGTAAAAACCCTATCACGCTATAAAGTAACGGGAGCAGTTCCCTGAGATATCTGAGAATTCTGCACTTTTAATATTTAAATTAGTTCATTTTAAATATAACAAGCATTATTTTAAAATAATTCAATCGTTATCAGTAGTATCTTCAATAACTGAATCCCAATTAAATTCAGTTGCACTTTGACGCGATGGTAACTCACCAAGATGTTGAAATCGCTGGATGAAGTATGGGTCGCGATCTCTTAATCGTCTGAATCGTTCAAACACAAGATCTTTGGCATATTCATAAAGTTGTATATCAAGATTATTGAGCTTTCTTATTTTTTCTTTTTGTTTTGGTGTTAAAGTTGCCATTGTTGCAGCACTCAGCGTTGCATTATGTTGTTCAAATGCTACGGCAAATCGCATACCAAAAGTTTCCTCGAATGAATACTGTCCGACCTATTTAAACAATTATTTTTATAATTAATAATCAAAGTCCAATAGTTTTATCTATTATATAAATTCCGAATAATCAAAATGTTAATGATAATTTTTACAAGTTATCAAAAGCCCATCAGTTATTATCAATTACTTTTATTATCATATTTGCATAAAAATGTTTAATAGTAAAATTTAAGTTTGTTTGACAAGTAATTATTTAATTAAATACTCTTTTTTTTTTAAACACTTTAGAATAGTTTTAATTCGCAATAGATAATTCAAAATATTTTATCAACTAAAGTATAATGAACAACTAAAAGTCCTGAGGCGATAATGTATTTCTCGAATAAATTGAATACAATGATATTCAATTAGCAGGAACTGGTCCAGTGCAGAAAGTTTAAATGGAATATTTCTAAACATACTTTCCTCAAATATTTATCAAATAATTGAACTTTTAGATATGTAGAGAAATAGAAAAATATTATTTCATATAAATTATGAATAAACTTTAACTGAAAAACTAATAAATTAAATATTATAATATTATCATATTTGTTTTGAATAAATAAAAAAGAAAAATCTTATCTAATCGTTTGTTCATTCATTAATTAACAAATATGTCTATAATTAAATATTATCAGACCTAGTAAATATATAAAAGTTAAAGAGTTTACTTAATGTTAACTGATTAACAAACTGATAATTTGTATAAAGACCATAATGATAATAGTAGAAATATTTAGAAGAGGGGATAGTTTATTTTTGAGAAAACCACTTATTACGGCAACATCTATATTGTATAGCATATGGTCATGTTTTTAAGGTAAACAATCGAAGTTTTGACAGGAAGCATCCAACGTTCATATGATAAAAAACAGATTTCATAAATATTTACTCGATTAGTATCTTCAATATTATATAAACCATGATTCATTGAATTATTTATTTTGAATAATCTATAAATTATTATAAAAAAAATGTAATAAATATTTATTTTACTTACTTTTTGAAACTCTGTCAGCATAAAAAATGGCATAAAGTGTAAATTACGCTTAGCGCTTTCCAACATGAGATTATCTTTTTCTGCATTTGATAGTGATGAATTATAACAACCAACGAGTGATAAATCTGCGAGCATTCGCGTTTGACGATTGTTTCCCAAGTTCGTTGAACAATTCATAAACTGTAAAAAAATGATTCATTATATTAATCATAGTATTTTTATAAAATCAATACTAATTAACTAATATTTGTCTGGTTTACTTTCAAAGTTATTAATCATAATAATTTAGCAATAAAAAATATTATATAATTAAAAACTTTTGAGAATCGACAACTCAACAATAATGTATTTAATTTATTTCAATAACGAGCCCATAAAATATATCCGTAATAAAATAATTTGCATAATAGACTCAATAATTTTGAGATAACTCAGAGTCGTAATAAATATATAAAAAAAAAAAAAAAAAAAAAAAAAAAAAAGTTAAAAGTTTTATGTTAATAGAAATTTAAATGACGAAACATCAACAGTTAAAGTCATCAATTTATCATAAATTATTCATAAAATATAATAACAATGATAAATGATTACTTGTTCCAGCGTAACTCCTTGCCAAGTTGGGCCAGAATAGCACTGTGGTATATTAGCGACATTGCCGCCACACCAGTGCCTTGCCCCACGCCATGTAGCACCTCTTTGAACATGTCGAAATTCGGAAAGATATCTCGCAACAGGATCACGGATAATAGTTATATAAAAGTATCTCCGCTTAATACCTTCACCCTCTATTTTATTTAACTCATAATCAACACAATTTGTTAGTTCCGTCCAATCAGCATGTAAGCCGCATTTCCAGCCTGTTGAATAACGCGAAAATAACCAGTTCTCATCACGGTTTGGCCGAAAACAAAAGCACCGTTTTTTCCGTCTCTGACACGAGCATGGTCGGTGAAGATCTAAATCCCGGACCAAATGTTTTCCAAACAATGTTCCTCCTAGGAAGCAATAATTAAAAAAAAAAATATATATATATATATAATGATTTAATTAGCCTTGAAATTTTGGAGTAATAATCTAAAGAATAAATAAAAATACTTGCCTGTTTTTTGTATATGGAGAAAGACAATAACATCATGAGCATTGATATCAAATTGAAAGGTATCATTATTAAGAATATCGTCATACCCGAGACTACTCTGAATATTTTGAAATTTAAATGATGGATGAATTAACAATGAATTTTTAAAAGGTTCCACTGGTGAAGATGAAGCTAGAGAACTTAGTCCAGTACCTGTACTGAACCCTTCAGACAATCGCGTTGATTCCTTGATATCACGATTGGTCAACGCACACACATGGTCCGGACAGAAATAACCAAGATACACAATACCAGTAAGAGCAAGTAAAACACAGATTCCAATCACACCCCGTAACCGATTACTACGGATACGAGTTTCCATGATTGATGTCTTGTCATGTGTGTGCTCTGATATAAATACCATTAGATCACTTAAATTATTTACATTTATTAATTTTCCCCATTTTCACCCATGATTTCAACCGTCAGGAGTTTTATCTTCTTTTTATTTTTTAACTACTAAACAATAGTTATTTCCTTTTTTGGTAAGCTGACTACGGCGTTTTTTTTCTTTTATTTAATTGTTGGAGTAACTTCTTGTTGGAGAATTGTCGCGAGAAAACAACGCCGTCCCATGAACACGCTCATTGAAGCTTGAGACTGTAATGCAAAATTCACTGGTTACTATTATTAAAATTCTCATTCCACCTCTCTTTTAATCCCTACTCTTTTAGTGTTTCGTATAAATATAGACACTTTATTATTATTATTCTCATCCTTATATTACTCTACATTTCAACCATTCAATGTATATGTTGTCTTCCATATTTCTATATATATACACATTGTATATAGATATTTTAGAATAAAAAAACATGAAAACATGAAGCGCCATAATTTCAGTGAGTAACTTATCGATTATTAAAAAGACGCTCACTGTAAATTCTAATTTTAACTTTTTTTTTTTGTTCAATAAAAATACATTTGTGATAGTTAAATATATTTGTTTATTTAAAATGTAGTTCAAAATAAATTACAAAATGTTGATTAAAAAAAAAAAATTATCCTAAGCAGTAATACATTTGCAAAATGGCGTCTCAAGACAGATGGTTTTCAATTCTAAGTCGTTTGTGTTAATCAAGTTGAAACGTGATTTGATGCGAGTTTACTGAAGCGCTTTCTTATCATTTATTTATAAACAATTCGTTAATTGTTAAAATACTAACTTTTAATCAGTAAGTTGATCAGCTATTCAAAACGATAATAAATTATTTTTAAGTAAAATGAGGTAAGCATATTTTTTTAAACTTAACCTTCAGACAAATCATTTTTATTATAAAATGTTGAAGTTTATAAGATTTAACATTTATCAAAGGATAAAACGTTTAGATATTACACTATTTTTAGTTTAGAAAAATTATCATGTATTATGGATGGTTGCTAATGTTACTATGAAGGTTAAAAATGTAAAATATGATGTCAAATACATGAATTATCATTGTTTAACAGGTGATTTGTGATATTAGCTACTAGTCATCGGAAATTCTGGAACAGCATGTAAGTTGAATTACTATCACTAGAATTACTTTATTTTTTTCAGTCAGAAACCTATAGACAACTGAATAAAATGATAAAATAGCAAAATACAAACATTTTTTGCTATAAGTGATAAATTATACCCACTTCTATAGTAATAATTAATTGTATATTTGGTTAAATTAATTTTAGAATGTGATAAACATATTACCAAACGGAGTTGAAATAATTTAAACAAACGTCGGAAAAATTGCAAGTTTTTGCATTTTATTTTTACTGTTAATTAGATGCTTTTGTTTAAGGAAGTACGAGCGAATCTAATGTAAAAAATAATTTCCAACTTTGAGCTTTGAAATTAAATATACGTATAAATAAATACATCATTTATTTAATCTCAAAATTTTAAAAAGATTCACTATTTAGTTACTTAGATATTAAATTTTAAAAATCACACTTTTTATCTCCTTATACACGGGCTCTTATGGCGGACAAACTTTTGTCGAGACTTTTAAGATTTTTTTCAATATTAACCTTCCAACTTTAACGAATAAAAAACTATATACAAGAAACTTGGATTATTGCAAAATATAAAAACAATTGAATAATAATACATTACAATATAATTTTTTAAATATTTAAAGTTAAATTTTATGTTTGTAACTCGTCTGTCGTCAGCCATTTATTCGAATAAAGATTTGACAACATCGCGTCAACAGCTGAGAAATAAGAAAAGGATAGAAATATAGTTACAGAGAGAGAAATGTTAAACTCACACACTCATCCATGTCTCTGTTATAGGTATAATCAAGCGCGCTATTGCCAAATCTGTTTATTTACTCCGGCAAGTAATAAATACCAAAGTCATTTTATTACTTTATTTTATTAAATAAGTAAAAATCATCAATTATTAAATTGTTCAAATTATTTTAAATTAAAATAAAGAATTTTGACGAATATTGGGAAAATTAAAATTAAAAAAAAAATTTTAACATTATTTTGACTCATTAGTTACGCTCGTACTTCCTTAATATGTCATGTTGATTTATCAAAAATCCGATAAATATTGCACTGAAAAAAAAATTAACTTGATTAAAGAGAAAAATTCTTGAGTCAAGTAAAATTTGCTTAAATCAAGAAAAATTTTCTTAAATTAAGAATTTTTCTACTCAAATCAAGAATATCAAGTTCTTTAAAATTATATACTTGATTCAAGAACATTTTTTTTTTCTGTGTGATAGTATGATCAAAATAATTGAAATCTTGAAACACTGTAGAAACATTTAATTTATGTTGCACGGGAATTTATTAATTGAACTTTTCTTTGCTGAAGGTTTGAAACTAGTAAATTTTAATTCATAATGATAAAATTTAACTATTTTAATATCATTGAATACGGCGTAATGTAGTTTGATCTACATCTTTTTTAATTGATCATTTTATCACAATATTTCTTTGAGTATTAATTTGCTTTTCCAATTTCAATTAATTATGAATTTACTTTATGCGTAGTAATTTATTTTATAATATTTTTATGAAAACTCTTTTGAAATTACCGCTAAAAAGTAAATTTAATGGTCGGTAATGTAGCTTGACTTAACCCAAGACTCCATCTAATGGCAATTCATGTCCTTTTGTTGATTATTCCCTGGATAAAATAAGACTTATTATTATTTCATAACCTATTCTCAAGTGTCAATCAACTTTACTGAGTTAAAAAAAAATTGTGTCAGTTGTCTAAAATAACAATAAAACAAAAATTCAGTTGTCATCTGTCATCTACCAACTCAAGGTAATTATTTACTTGTTTTTTCTAATAATTTCAAACTAACAAATAATCTTGAATGTATTATCAATTGGAGTAATGAGTCCATCAAAACTTTGATATTTATAGGTAATTGTTTACACATATTTTGGTAATTTAATATTTTTTAACAGATGATAAAAAAATATAAGTTAAATTAAAAATAATATCTGTATTATTGAAACTTATTTTAAAATAAAGTTTCATAAATTTTTATATTCAATTCTCATATACTTTTATTAATGATTCATTCAGATGTCTAGACTTTGAAGTAAATTATACAAAGTATTAAAAAAATATACATGTAATACAAGATCACCTAATCAATAATTCAATGACTTTCTTAAATGTCATGTAATCGGTATGTAAACAATGTTTCTTCCTCGTAATATCTCAAAAATGCATATCAGGTAGTACAATATTGTACATCTTATAGAGTAATAATATCCAACCATCAAACAGAAAATTTCGCGTTTATAATTTATCATCATTTAATATTGTTACGTACAATAAAATTAATTTTATCAAAATAATCAGTGCTGATCATTGTAATAAACTTCGTTTTTTTTTTTTTGTCTTTTTCAATAACATTGAATTTCATCTTGTATAATAAATTTTAGCGAAAACATGTGAAACAATGTTTGTATTTGTACTGTTTATTACTTCTTTTGTTTGATAAATTAAATTTTAATTAACAATATTAAGATGAAAACTAATGCGCTCAAATTTTGACTAGACTTACCTAAAAATCAATATATACTTAGCAATATATTCAGTATTTTTTTTGTAACTTTTTTAAATTCAATGCAATAATTGTTTGCAAAATTTTTTTTTTTTCAATCGAAATTATTTATCTTTCTATTATTATTATTATTATTATTATTATTATTATTATTATTCTTTATTAATATATTCCAAGGCACAGGCCGTATGGCAACTTACATGATTTTATTCTTTTGTTGTGTACATTTTGATTTTTTCTTAATAATATTTTATCTTAAAATTAATTTATAAACTAATTAAAAGTTAAACAAAGAGATCGTAATAAATCATAAAGAGATCATAATAAATTTTACATCAGATTCAACTTAAAAGGAAGTACGAGCGTAACTAATGAGTCAAAATAATGTTAAAATTTTTTTTTAATTTTAATCTTCCCAATATTCGTCAAAATTTTTTATTTTAATTTAAAATAATTTGAACAATTTAATAATTGATGATTTTTACTTATTTAATAAAATAAAGTAATAAAATGACTTTGGTATTTATTACTTGCCGGAGTAAATAAACAGATTTGGCAATAGCGCGCTTGATTATACCTATAACAGAGACATGGATGAGTGTGTGAGTTTAACATTTCTCTCTATGTAACTATATTTCTATCCTTTTCTTATTTCTCAGCTGTTGACGCGATGTTGTCAAATCTTTATTCGAATAAATGGCTGACGACAGACGAGTTACAAACATAAAATTTAACTTTAAATATTTAAAAAATTATATTGTAATGTATTATTATTCAATTGTTTTTATATTTTGCAATAATCCAAGTTTCTTGTATATAGTTTTTTATTCGTTAAAGTTGGAAGGTTAATATTGAAAAAAATCTTAAAAGTCTCGACAAAAGTTTGTCCGCCATAAGAGCCTGTGTATAAGGAGATAAAAAGTGTGATTTTTAAAATTTAATATCTAAGTAACTAAATAGTGAATCTTTTTAAAATTTTGAGATTAAATAAATGATGTATTTATTTATACGTATATTTAATTTCAAAGCTCAAAGTTGGAAATTATTTTTTACATTAGATTCGCTCGTACTTCCTTAATCTATTTTTATTTTAAATCTAGATTTAATAAGTAATCATAAATTTGATTTATTATCTATTGTAATAATACTAAAAATGGTAATACCAAAAATTTGAATGGAACTGTTACTTTGACAGACATATTTTAATTATTAACAAATTCTAAAAGATTAAATCACCAAATTTTTATAACTAATATCTAATGAACTGGTTCTATTTTTAAACTGGTATCATTATTACTGTTCTGATTAAAAAAATTATTTTTAGAAAAGTAATTACTAAAAATGGTTGCAATTGGCATATTGGAAGAAAGGATAACGGAATTAGAAAATCGAATTTACGGAGCAGCCGCACCAGCTATTGATGCAACACTTCCTGAGACTTCGATTGTCGACAATATACTCCATGCCAATACTCTCATTTCATCAGCACTGTCCGGCCGTGAAAGAACAAATGCTCTTGTCAAAAGACTACCGCAGTTAAATGAGTTATTGGATACATCTTATGAAAACGATGATCTAAATATCGAAGCGAAACTTGAAATAATTATAGCTATGGAAAGTGAGATTAAGAAAAATCTTGAATTATTTAATAAAGTTCAAGAATTAATGCCTGCCTTAGAAATAAATAAAATACAAAACGTTCCTGAATTAACACCTAAATTAGAGCATCTAACTGTTAACTATTTGAATCTCTATGAAGAATCAAACCAAATTAGCCAATCTATTCACAAAGTTTTTTCTAAGTATAACAATATTATTGACACTATTTCTAAATCACTCATTAGCTTAGATGCAGCTATTACTGCTGCCGAAAAAGCTGCAGCGCCTAAGAAACGTCAAGATGATTAAAAAATCGTTGATTTAATTTAAATCTATTGCTATGTTGCAATAAAACTTATTATTTAAAAGAACAATGAAACTCTTGAATTTAATCTTCATAATTAGAAAAATCGTTGTTCATTCTTCATGGAAATATATAGTATTAAAAAAAATATATGTATACTTTTAAACTTTCTTTTCTACTCTGTATTTAATTTAAAAAAAGTTACAAGTATATAATTTTTTTTTTATATTTATTATCTCATATATCATTTGTTAATCCAGTATCATTAATGTTCTTTTCATATATATATATATATATATATATA